TATTTCACTTTAGCATTTTATATTGAAATGAGGGCAAGCCTATCAAAGAACATTAACTTAAGAGAATCTCAATAGAGATTAAAATTGCTTTTAAAATTGCAATCAAGTATAAACATGATTATTTTTATTACAAAATTTAATTATTTACGTGTATAATTATGTCTCAAACTTGTACTGGCCATTAAATTTTAACCAGCAAAAGATAAGTTTGTTATTTTCGTATATGTTTATTAAATGTATGTTAATTCTAATATCTGATATTTGTTATCATTCTCTTTGCCCCATCTTATTAAATACTATTTTTTGATACATGTTTTATTGTATTATGTAAAAATGATCTTTAATACATTATAAAATTGTACATAATATCAGACCCAAGAACTCGTATATCATACGTATACGTATACATATATCTGAAACGAAAGAAATGAATTAAATATATACCATTTTCAGATTTAATATTCTATATGTATAACACACAATATTTTAGAAACAAATCGCAAAAGATTATTTAAAATTTTTACAAACATTTCATCATTTGATTATATACCTTTTTCAATTAGGTAATTTGTGTAATATTGTTTGTAGACTTTTTATTGCAGGTTATCAATAGAAACTGCATTGAGATTAACACATATGTAGTAATGTTACCAACAATCTACTGGAAACAAAATCGCAGAATGAGCCACATGTTTACTTAATACACACAAATAATCGATTACTCACTGCAGCGAGAAGTGTCGCGTCCACTTTGAGACCCTTGGCTGAAAAAATGTTTTTGCGTTGCAATATTTGCAAAGAGAACAGCTGCAACTGCAACGTGTTAGAACACAAATATAAAAAAAAATGATTATGACTTTAATAAATTCTATATATAAACAAATTGTATTAGTATTAAAAAATTTTCATAAAACTCTTCAAATTCTATTACATTATATTACCTCGTTTTTCACATCTTCGTCGCTAATGCTGTTAAACACGACGTGAATAGTGGTGCCAATTTCCAGAGCTTGATTTTTGCCGGTCTCACAGGCCCATACTATCGATAATATTTTCAAGCTTTGATAATTAATTATAAATACTAAGAAATATGAGTACCAAAGATCATTATGTAACTCATATGTGAATATTGGCCACTGCGACGCATAAAAATACAGACTGAAAGTAATTTCGCAAAAAGTTATAATTATGGAAGCGAGAAGCTGCAAGCTGAAAACTAAGTTCAACATCTGCACTGTATCGCTGATCATCATGTGCTGCTTTTTCAAAGCTTTGAGTTCCATCAGTGGAAATGGATTTCCCTGCTTATGGTGGGTCCGGTTGAATAGGTGTGGCACATCTTTGAGCACGGGTTCCCGAAAATTCACCAGATTGTCGTTGATTCTCTTGAAACAAGCCTTTAATATGCAAACACAATTCAAGTATAGCATATCCATCTGAAATACCACTAAACTGATGTATATTGTGTACAACTCTAGTGTAAGGTGGTAATTCAACTTGTTATAAGATATCAGCATTACTATGATGAGGAAGAAGAAACTGAAGATGTCTTTCGTGTGGATCATCTTGGATAATTTCTTATACGTTTCCGAAGGCAGCTTTGAAGACACATCCATTATAATTTGGAGCAAACGCATTCGTGGACCACTCAAAATATACGTGACGATCACTATGAAACTACTAAGTGCATAGTAGCAGGTACCTTCAAGAATCCACGGTAAGTTTCCAAACTCAATCCTTTCAGAAATGGTGAAATCATAGAACAGCTTGAATTCGTAAATGCAGACAGCACAAATAACGACGGTTGATAAAACGTAGCACTGTTTGGAAATCTTGAAAGTCGACGCATTGATCTTGTATGGGAAGATTCCAAGAATGTGGCAGAAGATGAAGCAGGGATACATCAAGGATTGAAAGTCTGTGGCTTGAAAAAGCCGCCATTTCTTCAATACTTGTCCTTGGCATTTCGATGACAGATCGAACATGGTCAATGGAATGTCATGAGGATATAAACGTCTCAGTCGTAGACTAAAAAATAAAAATTATTAATTATATTGCCAATGCACTGTGACATTAATGCGACAACTTCTGTTTCAAATAAATTCTTTAACTTTGTATTTTCTCGTTGAATACATGAATTAGATCGTCCGTTTTGTTTACACTCGACGAATTTAAGCTCAACTGGAAAACAATTATTGCCTCGAGCAGGACAGGACTGAGAGGACATTTTGTTAGGCGTCAAGTAACCATGGTGTTCTTCGATCGGCAATTATACCACTGGAATACGTATAAAATAATTATGTGTAATTGTTGTGACCTATCAAATTATGTATGCAAACACGAAAGAGATAATATCGACTGCAAATTATCAACGTGGACAAGTAATTCTCCAAGATATGTTATGTATTCCCCTCCTTTCAACTTTGTGCTTTAAAATGCAATTACTTAATGGTTTTTTCCAAGTTGTATTATTTTTGTTTGTCATGTTATAGGAAATTAATCAAAGACATTATATTGATTGAGTAAAGAAACTTAATTTTATTTTAAGTTATTTAAAATTTTGTTTATGACACCATATATATATACTATAACTTTTTACTTATTTATATATGAATCTAATGGAAGATTGCAAAATATCTTGATAATTTCAGTCGTTTTGTACATTTTCTACACGCGCAAGACTATAAATTATATGACACAGCAATTATATATCATTACTTTATGCGTACTCTGAAGATAACGAGTAAATAACGATATTTACATCATGACTAACGAATTCCTCAGTCCTGTTTTGCTACACAACGCAACAATTGTTAGTAGTTTTAAATTAAACTCGCGAGGTGTAGATAGACCGTGAGAAGTTCATGTCGGTTTATGCAATCGCCGAGAAAAACACAAAAAAGTTATACTCATTGTTAGAAAAGAAATTCTTGTAAACACATCGATGACATAATTAACATTTCTGAGATTATAGTCTATAAATTGGATTATTGTCATCCGATAACACTTCGATGAAAATGTTTAATTTGGCATGGAGATTTCACAGACTCATAGATAAGAGAAGAGGAAAAATATGGCAGTTATTCCGCGCTACAGATTTTAAATCGTTGATGTATCCTTGCTTTACTTTGTGCCATATTCTGGGAATGTTTCCATACAAGATTAACACTTCAACCATCGAGACCTGCAAACCAAGTTACATTCGGTCGACCATCATTATCTGCATTTTTTGCATTTTCGAAATAATAAGTCTCTATGACATCAATATTACTAAAAATTTTGCATTCAGAAGCATACCCAGGACACTCGAACGTAACTCCTTCTACATTTTCGGTGGTTTTATAGTAATCACTACATTTATTTTGAGTGGACCACGAATGCGTTTTCTTCAGACCATACTGAAGCTCTCTTTAAAATTATCCTCGAAATCATATCAGGATTTATCTAGGCTAATCCATGCCAAGGATATTCTTGGATTCCTCTTTATAACTGTGCAAGCGTGGCTGTATTATTCCAAGCTGCAGTTTAGCATCGTGCGCAAGATTCTTGTGCTATATATCATCTTGCTGGTGTTTCAAATGGATATGTTATATATGAATTGTGTTTGCATATTAAAAGCTTGCTTCAAGCAAATCAACGACAGTCTGGCAAATTTGCGAGAACTCGTGAAGAATGGTGAGCCATATCTTCTGAGTGACACCTATCACGGGCGGAGGAATCCGTTCCTACTGATGGAAATCATAGCTTTGAAGAAGCAACATCTGGCAATAAGCGATACAGTACGGATGCTAAAGATGGTCTTCAGTTTGCAACTTCTTACTACGACAGTCATGACTTTCATTCAAATCACCTTCAATCTATACTTTTACCTAGTGCGAGTAAAAGAAGGTGTATCTGTCAGTAATCTTGAGAGACAGACTTACTACGAGTACTTTATTACATCTGTAACATATTATTTTACGAAAATAGTGTTGATAGTATGGGCTTGCGAAACCGGCAAGAATCAAGCCATGGAGATTGGCAGTACCATTCACAACGTATTCAACAGCAGTAGCAATAAGCAAATAAAGTATGAGGTAGAGAGACAAAACATTATAACTTCAGTGGTATATTTTAGGTATTCTTGAGTCCGGCGTATGTCAATTCAATTTGTAATGTACTAATATTTATCAAATTTAATTATATCTTTCAATTCTACATTTTACAATTTTTTTCATTTGACGTTACAGTTGCAATTGTTTTCTTTGCAATTATTGCATTGTAAAAATATATTTTCCGCAAAGGGGCTTACTGTGGATGCTACACTTCTCACTGCGGTGAGTGATCAATCAATTACTTTCATTAAATAAATGTAGATTCGTTTAGTTTTATGCTATGCTATTGTTTTTTTAGATAGTAGGTGGCATTACCACGTATCTATTAATCTTGATACAATTCCTGGTCATGTCGCATTCCTGCGATGGAAAATTATTAATCAATTTAACAGATATAATCTAGTTAAGAAAAAGATGTATGACCATATATAGAAAAAAATATTGTAAATATTCTTATTTTTATCATTGTGAATATGATAGAATATCGGAGTGAGTAGAGTATCTGATAAGAATTTTATCAGTCAGATAAATATCTGTATTGTTTAACTCTATTCTAAATAATAATAGCATAATCTAGTATCTTATAATACTATTTATATTTATCGTATATGTCTGTCACGATAGTATCAGTATTTTTTTAAATATGCACAGTGTAATTTGAATAATATTTGCGTATGCAAATTTATGCACACGCGCACACACACGCAAAATTTAATTTGTTATATTTTAATAAACACACGAAATACTTGTTAGTCATAATTGAATTAAGCTAATAAAATAACTATCGATAATATTTTATATAAATAGAAATTAAATATTAATATTTTTTTGTATCCTGAATTATTAAGTATAATTATATATTTGTGTGCAATTGTTTGTAAGATTGAAAGAATTAAATCTCGAAGAGTCGAGATGTGAAGATATCGAACATCCTATTTGCTAAATAAGAATGTGGAGTCTAAATAAATTAGTGCTAATGCATCCTTGAGACAGCCACTGCTCCACGTGGACAGTATGCAGCTTATGTTTCGTGCTTCGTGTACGCATGCACTCAATTGTTTCTTTACGTTTTTCGTTCCAATGGTGACAAAGTGTTGATCGAAGAGCGCCATGGTTACTTCACTACTAACAAGTGACCCTTTGAGTCTTTACCACTTAAAACTCTCGCAGTTTTTAGTTCAAATTCCGGCCGAATAGATCGACAATGGAGAGTCCATAATACCTATGGCCTTTATAAAAAAAAACAAACTGTAGAGCCATACCAAGAATAAAGCTCTATCAATCATATTCTACTCTACTTGACGATCAAGTGCATTTATTAAGACATTAAGTGATTAATATGTCTTGGGCTGTTCTGCCATGATTCTCCACTAATCATGTTCAGTTTGTCGTCGAAGTTACAAGGACGAGTCAATGCCATAATACGAAAAAGATGGCGATTGTTTCATGCCATGGACTTTGAGTCGTTGATGCGTCCCTCTTTTACCTTTTGCTACATTCTTGGAGTATTTCCGTATAAAATCAATGCTTCGGCCTTTGAGATTTCTAAACCACGTTATATTCTTTCGACCGTCGCTATCTGTGCTTGCTTCAGTAGCTTACTGAGCATTCTCTATACGATCGATGGTGGGTACATGAAGTTCAGAGGTGTACCAAGGACTCTTGAGCGTAATTGCTTTTACATACTCAGCGGTGTTCTAGCGGTCATCACATATATTTTGAGTGGTCCACGAATGCGTTTACTTCAAACTATAATGGAAATCTCTTCGAATTTACCTCCAGAATCATACCAGAGGCTATCCAAACTAATTCACGCCAAGGATATCATAGGTTTCTTCTTTCTAGTTATGGAATTGCCACTATATATTGAAATGAATGTCCCTGTTATACTCAAGATCTTCGTAGTATACGTTGGTCTGCTGATGTTTCAAATGGACATGATGTATATGAATTGTGTTTGTGTATTGAAGGCATGTTTCAAGAGACTCAATGACAATCTGGAGCATGTACGGGTGCTCATGATAAACGATGAGATAAATCATCTCGATCAGATGTACTACAAACAAAGAAGTCCACTCATGCTGATCAAACTAAAGGCTTTGAAAAAGCAGCATCTGTTGATTAGTAACGCAGTGCAGATGCTGAATATAACTTTCAGTTTGCAGCTCCTAATTACTATAACTCTAACTTTCATTGAGATCACTTTCGAACTCTACTTTCATATATTGTATTGGAAAAGGGGCATATCTATGATCGAAGTAGAAGACCATGTCTATGAAATATTCTTGATGCTGTCCGTAATGTATTATTTTACAAAAATAACGTTAATAGTGTGGGCCTGTGAGACCGGCAAGGATCAGGCTCAACAGATTGGCACCACTGTTCATGGCATGCTTAACAGTGTTGGCGATAATGAGATCAAAAGCGAGGTAATAAAAATGTAATTTCATCTGTACAGTTTTATGAATACGTAAATTTTTATGAATATCTAAATTTATACCTTCCAATTCTGTTATTACTTAATTTACGATCTGTCGTTGCAGTTGCATTTGTTTTCCTTGCAAATTATGCATCGAGAAAATAAATTCTCCACTAAAAGTCTTACTGTGGACGCAAAGCTTCTCACTGCGGTAAGTCGATTATTTTTGTACACGTTAAAAGAGATTTATTCATCATCTTGATTTTGTTTCTAGATGGCGGGTAACATCACTACATACTTGTTAATCTTGATGCAATTTTTAAACATGCCAAATTTTTGTGATAAAGAAATTGCAAATATTACACAAACAATTCAATGAAATAAAAGGATATATCGGATGAGTGAATATCTACATATATTTTATAATATAGTAGAAACATTTTCGTTTTTCGTTAGTTCTGTGTACAGCCGACAACCCGAATCGGCGCGCAGTTCTAGCAGAAAAATTAACGCGAAGTCATCAGTAGTACTGTTTATTGCGTCTAATATTACCACATGTCTCAGTGGTCGAATTGGTGAGACGCCCGCCTAGAGTGTAGGGAGGTCCAGGTTCAAACCCTGGCGGAGGTAATATTTTTTGCAATGAATTTCTTTACTTAGAATTTGCCAGCCATTGGTCGCCATGCAATTTTTCTACATTGATTATCGTTTTTATTAGAATATATTATTAGAATAGGACTTTTTTATTATAATATGACCCTACACTGTATAATTATTACGTGTTTATACACAAATATATAATATACACATACATATAAGGTACATATAAGTATTGCTAATACATCTACAAAGTGTATATTTGTATATAAAAAGACAAAATTTTATATTACTTGTATGTTAACGTCTAGTTACAACTTAACATGTTTTAATTGTTTAAATGTTACTAAACCGTAAAAGATATTAAAAAGTGATGTCTAATATTTTAATTAACATATGTATATTTAATTCCTATTGTTGCACATATATACATATACAGATTATTATCTGTCATCAAAAATAAGAATATACGCATATTTAAAGTCAATTTAAATAATAATTAAAATAACATCTTAAATAATTACTTAGAGATATTTTTTCTTCGAGCTACATTTATCAACAATAAATTTATAAAATCTTATTGAAATACCATTTAATCCATGCATTATTAGAGTAAGAAAATTTGTAACTTTTGCCATTTTTTTATCATTATTAAAATAGAAAAAATGACTTTCTTAGCTTAATTTATGACGTACGTAAGATCGAAACATAACGCAACGTAACATAATGTAATATTAACAATTCATTAATCAAAGTAAAAATCGATTAATTATAATCTAGATAAGAATATTGTTCTTATAGTCGCGTTCATTTTGTGAAATGTTGTGTAATATTGTGATATTATATTAATTATTCAAACACTCTTCGTGACAATATGAATGTTTCTCGAAATGTACAATATTAGATATAAATTTGATTAATATTTGATATGGATATTGAGGAGAAAAATAGTACTTATTTTATTCGTCCAATACAAGTTTAATATCATTATTTTTAAATAATGAAGAAAATTGTAATATTCCATTCTCGAATTTGTATCAATATAGTGTTGAACGGCTGGTTTAGATATTCTGTATATTATTATATATACATAGATATATTGAGTTCCGTACGCACAAGATATAAATGTGATATTTAACACTGAATAATTGTCATTAAAAGTACTGATCAATGTAGATACTGTGCAGTTATTATTTCCTGTTTCATGTATGCACAAATGAATTGTAGGACATAATTATACTTTGTTTTTTTTAGCACTCAAAGTGCTGCAGATATTTTTATTATAACATTGCTTTATTTTTATATTTTTTATTCTATATACCGAAGTTTTTCTAGTTTAATAATTGTAGACAAGTACTTACTAATAATAAATTTTGCATTGCAACCAAACATCATAAAGAAAGTAATAATTGCCGATCGAAGAGCACCATGGTTACTTAGTAGTAACAAATAACGCTAATGTCTTAATGTAGCAGCTTTCTCAGTTTTAAACTGACACTCCCTGAATATAGATCAACACAAAGTCCATGTCAGTTCGTGCATGTTAAACAGAAAAAAAAACGTAAAGGCTGTTTCCAAAATCTTACAATAAGACTTATATTACAGAATAAAGTTCAATAATTTTTGTGATATAAATTGAACGGTGATATAAATTGTCGTATTCATATTTCGCTGATAATGTTCAGTTGGCCAACAAAGTTTCAAGGAAACGCCAAGTATCAAATATGGAAAAAGTGGCAGCTGTTTCATGCTACGGACTTTCAATCGTTGATGTCTCCGTGCTTCATCTTTTGCACCGTTCTTGGACTATTTCCATACAAAATCAACGGTCGGACCTTTGAGACTTCCAAACTACGTTACACTATGTCAACCGTCATTCTCTGTATTCTCTGCATTTACTATCTAGTGGTGCTGTATAAGATTGATATTACTAAAACGATCACATTCAAGAGCATACCTAAGACTCTTGAGCGTAACTGCTTATACATACTCTGTAATTTTATTGCGATCGTTACATACGTTTTAAGCGGTCCTCGAATGCATTTGCTCCAGGCCATAATGAATATCTCTTCAAAACTGCCTCTCAACTCGTATCAAAAACTATCTAGATTGATCCACGCTAAAGATATCTTCGGCTTTTTCTATCTATTCGTACAAGGGATATTATATTATACCATGTTGGATTTCAATACTTGGCATAAATTTTTTTTTCCGTACATTGCTCTGTTGGTATTTCAGATGGATATGCTATATATGAATTGTGTTTGTATATTAAAGGCCTGTTTCAAAAGAATTGACGACAATTTGAAGAATATGCGAGAGCTCGTAGTAAACGACGAGCCACATCTCCTGAGGCGAATCTATCATGAGCATAAAAATCCATTTCTGCTAATGGAGCTCAAAGCTTTAAAGAAACAGCATCTGGCGATCAGTGATATTGTACAAGTGCTAAACACAATTTTCAGTCTGCAGCTCCTAGCTACTATAATTCTGACTTTTGCCGAAATCACTTTTCAACTGTACTTCTACATAATACATTGGGAAACTGGCATGACAATGATTGATGTCGACAACCAACTTTATGATCTGTTGCTAGTAGTGAATATGGCATATTATTCGACAAAAATAATGTTGATGGTATGGGCTTGTGAGACCGGTAAAGATCAGGCCATGAAGATCGGCATTACTGTTCATGATCTGCTGAATAACACTTCAGATGAGCATATAAAAGACGAAGTAATTAAAAAAACTTTTGTTTAAATCTTTGTCTGAAGATATTTTGTTTATTAATTGCCCTTTTATTACTAATTATCTTTTTATATCTAACTTAGCAAAGTAATCTAGGAAAATCTAGAAGAGTTAATAACGGTTTTACAATCTCAGCATTTAATTATATCATAATCTTATACATTTTGCAGTTGCAGTTGTTTTCCTTGCAAGTACTGCATCGCGAAAATGTATTCTCCGCAAAAGGTCTCATTGTGGATGCTACTCTTCTCACTGCGGTAAATAAATAATTATGATCTTCTTAATTAAATACATATTATTATTTACTTTCATAATTCTGATTTTAGATAGTGAGTAACATAACTACATATCTGCTAATATTGATACAATTCTTAATTACAACAAATTTTTGCAACAAAAAAGATAGTACATATAATGTCACACAAATAATCTAATTATAAAAATATTAATTACTAAAAGAAATATACATTATTATTATATTATTAAGTTAAGATACTCTCTTTTTACGTTACGACAATATGTATATTCATGTATGTGTATCTTCCGTTTTAGAAAAACATTTTCAATGTAAATGCACGTTAACGCACATTAATATCTTGTAAATAAGTTAAATTTGACTTGCTACATTTTAACAAATTTATATCCAATTAAGATTAAATAATAAAAAGACATTAAATAGAGTTATTTTATTTATACGGACATATTTTTTAATTGTACTAAAGTATAATAGTAAATATGTAAAATACGTAATAATATTCTTAAATTATATATTAGAATTTCATACACGCATGTACACGTAATACCAGAATTGTAGCATAAAAATATCGAATATTCAGTATGCACAATAATCTAATATTTAAAATCGGAAAATTGTTACTAAAGTTACTTAATAAAAAAGTTACTGATTCATGTACGTACAGGACAATCAATATTTCCTATTTGATATGTGCACACACGATTTACGCCAAATGACGAACAGGTCGACGGCGTTCCCCTAAAGGGAAAAAATCCAAAAAGGCACACATGATTTGTTAAATGCTAAGTTGGCAATTATGCTTCGTTCCGTTATACTCCGCGCACCAAAGGTGACAATTATACCGATCCGATCGAAGAGCACCATGGTTACTTTACGACTAACAATTGATTACTCAAGTGTTATCTTGATGCAGCAACAGCTTGCAGTTTTAAACTGAAACTCGCCGAGTATAGATCAACGAAGTTCCGTTTTATTTGAAAAAGCTGACGGCAACACGAAAAAAGCTCTTGCTTATATTAATGTTAAAGTGCAACAATTAATATTTGAGCAGTCTAGATAATAGTAATCTAGATTATTGTATGACATAAATTGTTGTCCTATTCCGCCGATATGATCAATCCGTTATTGAAGTTCCAAAAACGCGTCAAGTGTAAAATGTGGAAAAAATGGCAATTGTTCAATGCCACGGACTTCCAATCGTTGATGTATCCGTGCTTCTTTCTCTGCAGCATTCTTGGAATATTTCCATACAAAATCAATCACGGTTCGACTTTCGAGATTTCCAAACAGCGTTACATACTATCAACCGTCGTCCTCTGTGTTCTCTGCACTTGCGAGCTAGTAATACTTTATATGATTGATATTGCTGGGACAATAAACCTTGGAGACATACGTAGGACTCTTCAGCGTAACTGCTATTTCATACTCGGAAATTTTATCGCGATTGTTACATATGTTTTGAGCGGTCTTCGAATGGATTTGCTCCAGGCCGTAATAAATATCTCTTCAAAGCTATCTCTCAATTCATATAAAAAACTGTCTAGATTGATCCATACTAAGGATATCTTCGGATTCTTCTTTCTATTTATGATGACGATGTACTACTACTCCCAGATAGACCATTGGTACAAAGCTCTTGTACCACATGTTACTTTCCTGGTGTTTCAGACGGATATGCTATACATAAATTGCGTTTGTATATTAAAGGCCTGTTTCAAAACAATTGACAACAATCTGATCAATTTACGGGAACCCATCGCAAACGATGAGCCGAATAATCCATTTCTGTTAATGGAACTCAAGGCTTTGAAGAAGCAGCATATGAAGATCAGCGATACAGTAGAAATGTTAAACATGGTTTTCAGTCTCCCGCTCCTCGCTACCATGAGTATAACTTTTTTCGGAATCATTTTTGAATTGTACTACTGCATGCTGCATTGGAAAATTGGCATATTAATAAATTTCAACATGGACAACCTGGGTTTTGATATATTTGCAATAGGGTTTATGACGTTTTATACCCTAAAAACAGTGTTGATAGCATGGGCTGGTGAGACTGGTAAAGATCAGGCCATGAAGATCGGCATCACTGTTCACGATTTGCTTAATAATTCGTCAGATAAACAAATAAAAAACGAGGTAATCAAAAAGTTAAAATTTTATTTCTTTACCTAAAGATATTTATTAATATAACTTTATATGTGAAATTTAGAGTTAATAATGTTTAACAGAATTAATAATAGTCTTACAATCCAGAACTTAAATAAATAACAATCTCGTTTTTTACAGTTGCGGCTATTTTCCTTGCAAGTACTGCACTGCGAAAATACGTTCACCGTAAAAGGTCTCATTGTGGATATTACTCTTCTTACTGCAGTAAGTAGGCGTGTACTTGTTTTTTTAATTAATAAAATGTATATTGTTTACTTTCACAATTGTGATTTTAGATAGTGGTTAATACAACTACGTATGTACTAATCTTACTACAATCCTTGATTGTCTCATATATTTGCAATGGAAAAACAAATAATGTCATACATATTATCTAATTAAGAAATATATATTAATAAATAAAAAACTATATTATTATTAAATAATTAAGACACTCTCCTTCTTTTACCACTGTAAGAATATGCATGCACATTGTACATATTATATTCACATATGTCTTACTAGTGTGATAACTTGTTCTATAATTTATTAGAAATATTTTTGTATGTGTATATAATTAATTTCATCTAATATTTATTGTAAGATTAATTCAGTGTTATTTTCTTTTTATCTTTTTCATAGCTTTAATAATTAGAAAAATATATATCTGAATTATACTTAATTACTTAATTTAAAAATAGTGTTGAATATTTCTCTACATTGTAAATTTTATTTATTGACAATGATTAAAGAACTTTTCATTAAACTATAATATGATTAATGAATTATCGTGGTAACATTCATGTCTTTCGCCATTGCATCCTTTTATTGCTGCTGAAATAAAAAAGATCAGTTTTTCTGCATACAGTCTGTAGATTACGGTCTGTTAAAAACTCCATTAAGGAGAATACGCCGATTAGTTTAATCTAGATAAGTAGTTATAGATTAATCTTAATCAATATAATATAGCACTGTCCTTGCATTCTAATTTTAATTTATTAATATTACATTTGTTACATGTGTATATGCTTTCCTATGGATGTCATTTCTCAAAGCAAAAGCAATGCAAGTTAATATTACTTTAGTTCACAAATAAAACCAGAGTTAAGTTAAATTTATTATATTTTGATAAACCCATGAAAATTATTTGTAATAGCAATAAATACAATTTATAAAATAAATGTTGACGACAGCATACATATTATTTTACAAAATATGGAATAACATTAAAATTTATTCATTATTGGAACTGGTATTAATGTACTTTTACGAGCTACTGATCTGTGTGGATGCAAAGTGTAAACTTCTTTTATATGTATATGCATACAAGAGTTGACATATTGCTGCTATGTCAAAATTACATATTATCATGTTATACAAACGATATACATATATGTATACTGCATTCAAAGAATGATTAATGGCAATCGTAGAGCGTCGCGGTTTCTTTGTAAGTAACAAATAATCCTCGAGTCTTGTCTCACTATTCGGTGCAACTGTTCGCAGTTTTGATCTTAAACTTGTCGAGTGCAAATCAACAATGAAGAGCACATAGTCGATGCAGTGAGGTGAATTTAAAGATATATATAATTTAAAAAAGAAGCACTCATAGACCACATACATCATAGTGCATTGATAAAGGGATTAATTTTTAAAACTGTCAATAGCCTAGATTGAAGTTTCATAATAATCGTTTTCATAATAATTGAAAAAGATGATGTTCAATCCTTCATTGAAATTCCGAAGACAAGCCAAAGGTAAAATACAAAAAAAATGGCAATTGTTTAACGCCACGGACTTTCAGTCCTTGATGTATCCCTGCTTCACTTTCTGTCGCATTCTCGGAATGTTTCCATACAAAATCAACACTTCGACGTTAGAGATTTACAAACCGCTCTTCATTGTGTGGTCCGTCATTGTCTGCGTTTGCTGTATTGGCGAACTGGTAATATTGTACCAGATCAACATTTCTGGAACGATCAACATGAGAAGCGTACCCAGAACTCTCGAGCGTAGTAGTTACTATTCGCTCAGCAATTTGGTAGTAGTTGTCACGTACATTTTGAGTGGTCCACGAATGCGTTTGCTTCAAACCATATTGGACATCTCGTCGACATTGCCCTTGGAATCGTATCGGAAGCTGTCCTGGTTAATTCACACGAAGGATATTATCGGTACTTCTTATGTAATTGGAATCGTGCTAATATATCATTCTAGAATGAGAGTTGATGTCATGATGAAATTTTTCGTAATTTACGTCAATATGTTGGTATTTGAAATGGACATGATGTACATGAATTGTGTTTGCGTATTAAAGGCCTGTTTCAAGGGAATAAATGACAATTTGATAAATCTGCAAAAACTCATCGTGAATAGTGAGACTCATCTTTTCCAACCGATCTATTATGTGCAGAGAAATTCTTTCCTGTTGATAAAGCTCAAAGCTTTGAAGAAGCAGCATCTAAGAGTCAGTGATACAGTGCAGATGCTGAATATAATTTTCAGTTTGCAAATCATAGCTACCATAATATTGACTTTTATCGAGATGACATTTAATATATACTATTATATACTGCAGTGGAGAGAAGATGTGTTAATACTTATTATGGAGAAGCAGCTCTATCATGCGTACTTCTTCATATGCATTGCATATTTTTTCACAAAGATAACATTGATAATATGGGCCTGCGAGACCGGCAAGAATCAGGCCTCAGAAATTGGCACAACCGTTCATGATGTGCTTAACTGCACCAACAATGAGCAAATCAAATACGAGGTAATGGAAAATGTAATTTAATACGTATATTTTTATAAGCATTTCGTTAAAACAATTTTTAACCAATAAAACTGCTACATATACATATATGTAATCATGTTATCAATTCTATTGAGGATTTTAAATATTTTACGATCGGATATTGTAGCTGCAGCTATTTTCCTTGCAAATACTGCACCATAAAAATAAATTCTCTGCAAAGGGTTTCACTGTGGATGCGACGCTTCTTGCCGCGGTGAGCAACTGATCGTAAGCCGTTATTGAATAAATACGAAATGTTCATCAATTTAATTTTGCTTTTAGATAATAGGTAACGTCACTACGTACATATTAATCTTAATGCAATTCTTAAGTGCATCGTATTCTTGTGATGGAAAGACAATTGTCAACGTTACACTAATTAAAAACGACAAATAAAAATGTGAATAGCGTTTTTATATTTAAAATGCACTATTTCATATACATATAATAAATATATTTATGAAAAATCGTTTTACATTTGTGAAATACACCATTTAATGTAACTTTTTAATTGTTTCTTTATTGAGATTAGGATAAATTAAATATTAAATGTTAATAAATCAATGTATTTAATATTTATATATTTCTGGCAAATGTATTTATAATTAGCATTTCAAATACCGTCTCAGTTAACACATTGTACTTCATTCTAGGATTATTAGTAATATCTCATGGTTGCATTGTTAATAATACACATATGAGCAAAAGAGTAATTAATATAATAGTAATTACGTTTAATTCACGCTTTATTTGCAATAGCACAGAAATTTGATAACAAATATATGCAAGCATTGATATTTAGAATTATATTTATATTTATATAAATTTATTCGTTGCATAAATGGATTGTGTTGAAAAAATTATAACTTGTGTAATTTACCTCATTACCAAACTGAAAAATGTGTAGTTTTCTTGCCTCCAGTTAACAATTTATGAGTATATGACATGTAATACATATTTTACATAAAAACTTAGAAAATATATATTTGTATACAAATAATCGGGCATATTAATTCGTATTTGTGTGATGTAAAATATCTTGTACGTAATTTAAACGTAAACTTTTGAAATAGATAGTGATAAAGAAATACGTATATTACAATTGCATTTTCGAAAGTTAGTAATCTACAGAAACACTGCACAGGGTACAGCCATTTCCATTTGTATTCATGATTTGATGAGTAATGTGTCACAATATTATTTCTTCATACAGAGATGAGTAGCCAATCGAAGAGCACCATGGTTACATCACGCCTAACAAACTATCCTTTGCCTTTGTAGAGGGCAGCAATTATTCGCAGTTTTAAACTTAAATTCGTCAGATGTGCATCGAGTCCATATTGATTTATGTATGTGGAAAGACATACGGACGCAACGGCTACACTTAAATAAAACTTGTCGCGATTAATGCCATAGTGTATAACGTGAATAATAATTTGCAGATTGTTGTTTATTATTCAAATTTTCTTGTCTTCTTGCGACATATTGTTGAACATGTTTAATTTGTCATCGAATTTCCAAGAAAAACCAAAAGGCAAACAAAAAGGAAAAGGATGGCGATTGTTCCAAGCCAAAGACTTTCAAACCCTGATGTATCCTTGTTTCACGTTCTGTCGTATTCTGGGTATATTTCCATATAAGATCAATGCGTCAACCTTCGTGGCTTCAAAACTGTATTATACTCTGTGGACTGTAGTTATCGGTGTTAGTTATGGTATTAACGCACTGGCATACATACTACATGGTTCTTCCATTTTTGGAAAAATCGATATGAAAATTTTACCCCGGACTCTCGGGAGTATCTGTGTGTTCGTGTTTGGCGGTTTCATAATGGTCGTTACATTTATTCTAAGCGGCCCGCGAATGCGCTTGCTCCAGATATTATTGAACATCTCTTCAAGATTACCCGCAGAATCCTATCAAAAACTATCGAGACTGATTCACGCTAAAGATGTCATCGGTTTTATCTGTCTAATTGAGAACATGTTCATACGTATGTTAAAGTTGCGTGTGAACTCCATGTTTCATACATACATCATTCTAGTGGTATTTCAAATGGACATGTTGTATATAAATTGTGTTTGCGTATTAAAGGCGTGTTTTAAAAGAATCAATGACAATCTGGCGCACATGCGAGAACTCATTATAAATGACAATTCACATGGCTCTAGACTGACCTACGAGCAGAGAAATCCATTTCTGATAATGGAGCTCAAGGCTCTAAAGAGGCAGCACATGACAATCAGCGATACTGTACATAAGTTAAATATGATTTTCAGTTTGCAGCTTCTTGCTACAGTAGTTATGACCTTCTCTGATGTCACGATCACTTTATACTACTATGTATTAGACTGGCAACATATCCCGTTAATGAGTACTTCAATGAAAGCATTATCTCACACGTACTATCTTTCACGCCTTATGTATTATGGTGTGAAAATGGGATTGGTAACGTGGGCCTGTGAGACAGGCAAGAATCAAGCTTTGCAAATCACCATTTCTATTCACGATATATCAAATAACATCACCGATAAGCAGATCAAGGATGAGGTAATATATTAGAAAATTTATCATGTATATCAAAAAAAGTTTTTGACATCTGATTCATAATTAGTATATTTTTCTGTATTTAATAATTTCGTAATTACAGTTACAACTGTTTTCATTGCAAACACTTCACTGCGAAAATACATTTTCTGCAAAAGGTCTTACTGTGGACGCGAAGCTTCTCGCTGCAGTGAGTGATTTGTATCCCTTAATTAATAATGCCTTAATTAATTATAATTTGTTAATGAAATTAATAACGAATAAAATACGCTTTGATTTTAGATAGTGGGTAGTATCATTATGTATGTATTAATATTATTCCAATTCATGCATATGTCGTATTCCTGTGAGAGAAAGATAGCAACCAACATTACGGAAGTAATTTAATTAGGAATATATCTGATATATGCATACAAAATTTTTATTTTTTATTTTTCTTATAATTAGAATATACGTGCTTCACATACAACAATTATCATCATTGTATTATATGAATTAAATTTGATTTAATATATGTTAAAATCATCTAAGATATTTGTAATCCATGTTTAAAGAAAATTATGACGAAAAATATTGTAAATAAATATGTAAATATAATGCACATGCATATGTATAAATATATTAATATTTAGATACATATACATACTTACTAAAAAAATAGCTTATATGAAAACAAAAATATTAAATCTGTAAGATAAAAATGTTTTAGTTATTAACGGATCTCTCAGAGTCTTTTAGAATCACTGATTTATATTACCCACACAGTTCATCGTTTCTACATATTTCATGAGTATACATAGTATACAGTATACAGAGTGTAAATTAGTGAGTCATATGCCGTAACAATAATATACC